AGGGAGGGAGGGGCGTGAAACTCTAAACCACGTTCTGAGTCGGAGTTTTCGTCTTTCATCTCAATGAACTAAATGAAACTCAAAAATCACTTACGTCAGCCGTCCTTGTAAAAGCGAATAGCCATTTGGCTTCTGCTCTCGCTTGTGTTCTCGCATCTGCATCCAATACCAACTTTCCGTCCACTTGGCATACTTCTACACCGCAGAAGGGAGCTCTGCAAGCGATGTTTACTTGAAAAAAGATTTCCACGATAAGGTCGAGAGAAGGGAAAACTTACCTATTGGGAAGACAGGTGGACCCCTCAAAGGTGTGGAACGACACACAATTTGCAGCGAAGGGCATAACCCCAGCGGCCTAGCACGGGGTCCTGGGGCCCGTCTCGGCGCGGCACAGCACTGAACTGGCTAACACTCGCGCTGAAGAGCCGTGTTCAAGTAGCAAGCTGGGGCAATTGATTCAGAGCAGCAGCGATGGGTACTTGAAAAAAGATTCCACGATAAGGTCGAGAGGGAAAACTTACCTATTGGGAAGACAGGTGGACCCCTCAAAGGTGTTTAACGACACACAATTTGCAGCGAAGGGCATACCCCAGCGGCCTAGCATGGGGTCCTGCGGCGCTATCGGCGCGGCACGCCCACCGACTGGCTAACCACTCGCCGCAGGTCTCTAGCCGTTTAGCAGAGAGAGCGTTAGCGTTGAAGAGGGCAGCACCGATGAGAGTCGCATCAACGAGCAGAGAGAGGGTCCCATTTCTCGTGTTCTGGTCCATTTCTTGTAGTTTTTTCTTCGAAACTGCTGACCACCTCTACCTTAATTCTAGGCTGCCTTCCAATCGTAATCTCCCTTTGAAGGCAGTGGGTGTGCTAAGCTAGAAGGCAAGGCAAAGGTCGCCTTGAAAGAAACGGGCATTGGGCCACACCTCCCAGCCACCGGACAGACACAAGACCTTTCAGACAATTTTATCACCCACAGATTTCATTATAAATTTCACCTGATCGATATTCCATTATCCAGTACAGCCAATCCAGCAGCAGTGAGCGCAGCTCCACCGATACTTCCATCGTCTTGAAGCAGGTGTACGGTCACCTTCAATAATGTAGACGTGCACCTATAGAATGATCATCAACCACTAAACCAATAAGAAACACCATACCGTTAATCCCGTTCTCGGGAACATTTTCAAGTCCAGTACCGATTCCAATGTCGATTGGATTATATTGTTTAGCTTAAAATGTTACAAGATAAGATGTACATATTTTCAGTAGTTCAAAATTCAGGACTCATAATATTACGTGACAAACCTCATGATACTGACAGTCCCCTGTAAGTTGGCGGAAACTCACATCGAGGTGCATTTGCTCATCTTCGCGACGTGCAATATGAATGTCGCCTAGAAATTCATGACTCAACAACACCAAAGATGAAAAAACGCAGTACAGGTAACTCGAAAAATAGCATCTCGAGATATCGTGCACCACTACATGGTCCCGGGGAGGCTAAAAATGCATGCACGAGATAATACCTGATTAGGCTCATCCCGACTACCCTCCATGACCGTACTTTGTCTTTCCCTCGTGTTACGAACCCTCTTCATCACCATCCGTACTTAAAGACATCCAATCAAAACTACATAACTTCATCATGTTTAGCCCTTGGGTCCTGATTGAAAGAAAGGGTGGTCTGGTCTTGATCTAATGAGACGGTTCACACGGCCTATACCCTTTCCCTTCTCAGTCGAACTCTCGGAACGTTATGGTGGAGTAGCTCTTGTTATATTAGGGTACCTACACAATGAACTTACCTGGCCCGGAACAGCTGGCCCAAAGAGAAGTTCTTCCTTGTGAGTAGGAACAGGAGCCATCCGCTCGTCGGATGTAACCCAGCTCACATCGCATCATACGTAAACGGCCAGTTGAACTCATCACTGAAGCAAGCTTCAATTCAATTTTACAATATCATGTAATCCCTTTCTGACGCAATGGGCTATTTTCACTGCCCTACACCTTAACAGCATTACCCACCCCTAATCTCCGAAAACTAGGTTATGCGCAGTTTTAGAGATGGACTTCATAATAAAACATCAACGCCTTTGCGAGAAACGGGAAAGGTCGACAGTTTACAACGTCTAGATTAAGGGTAGGAAAGCGATAGGTCAGGAATTGTCTTAAAACTAAACCTTCGGTATAAGCCACACATTCAATTTCCGTCTGAAATTTCAGCAGCCGCTTGATCCCTTCCTGTAGAGCATACCAGTAAGGTGTTAGAAATTTATTCTAAGCCTATTAATTCAGTACCTTTGAAAGTTGCGCTTGGAGGAAAATATAATTTGCTTACAGCCGTACTTCCCTAGTATCCCAGGCTTTTCCTAGGAGAGACCACTCCTATTATATAAACAAAAAGGGCGTTTATATGCATTCCCTTCCAAGCATAAACCATTGTGGTTGAGTCAAGAGCACACTTAATTCCGCTTCCTCTCGACTGTCCCTTTCTTCAACTCCATTATGCCAACTCACACCATCTGTCGCTTAGGCATACGGCCATACACAAAAGTTAAACTGCTTGCAAAAAAGTCTGTGACGGGTCACGGAAACAATCGCCGAGCGAAGGCGAGGCTTGTCACTGCCATGCATTTTGAAAGCAAAGCAAACTGTTTGATAAATAATCGAATAATAATGCGTCTGGAGAAGTCCGACCTTTGATCAAAATCTATTACAGCAATAACATAAGAAATTTATCTGCGATTTGTCAACAATAACAACATTTTCAACAATGAGCAACAAAAGCGGTATCATCGAGTAGATGGTACTGAGCCGATATCTATCAGGTATTCTGAGTATGGAGTTTGAAGCGTAACGAATCAAAGCAAACTGACTTATTTCTTTGACGGGGACTGTTAAGGGGCTATACTCATTGTACCATTCTGTGGATGTCATCTCGACTCGTCGGCGGAAGTTTTCTTGTTCTCGATGCGAGGATTATTGATTGATGAGGAGCGGAGATCACGCGACACGTGACTTGTTGATTGATTATAGTTTTAGACGCAGTCTTTCCATATGAATCAGCATTTTGTTGATCTCTACCAAATGGCACGCGGTTTTTGTCAAATATGGTTATGATATCAGAATAGTGGTGACGTTATGCTGAATACGAGTAGAGTCTCGTTTCGGCAGGAACTTAAGCGTCGCAGACGAGAACTTCGTGTATGTTAACTCCCGAACACGCCATTAAGTTGTTGAATGGATGGAAGCTTCTCAATGCGATCTCCATTCAATCTTATCTCTGCTGACACCACACTGTGATTGGTGATTCAGCGCGGTCGGCGATTCGAGGTAACCTTTTCTTCCTTATTGTTAGAAACTCTCTGCGAACGAGAGGCTCGGTCCTCGGATGATTTCACAGAATGCGTGAAATCTCCAATTCCTCAACAATCTTAAAAATGTTCAGTTATTACCGATTCTACCAGGAAGAAACCTTTTTAGTGACCACTCTAGCTGCCACTCCCCCTTCCCACCTCAACCATAATCGTCGAGATGTTTGAAGATGCCTGACCCTCATGCAGGATCAACCGTCCATGAGGACAACCCGAGCCTATGGGGCCGTATACACGTATTTGCAGTCAACCAAGCCGTCAGAAACAAGCAAGCGAGAGCTGTATTTGTGGGAGATGAAGGGCTCCAATTGTTTGTAAAGAGGCCCTTCTTTTTCTCATTATAGGGAGAATCGGGGAGGGCCGATTAAATTTTTACAACTTTGGCGAAACTTGGACGAAAAATGCATGGGATGGGCAATGTCTGCCGTTTGTGCAGTTTTATTTACCCTCGCCCGCAGGCTAGTGGGGAAGTGGTAGGGCTGTATTGCGCGTGACTTCCTTCAGATATTGTGGTCTCATGGGTCGTGTACGGGAAAGCTCGGGAGATGGAGTGTCGGGGAATTTACGATATCGGCGAGCTCGATGGTTGACTCTACTCACACCTAGACTGCTGCAGCACCATCCTCAAGAAATTAAACGACTCATATTTCCACAGTCTCCGGCTTCTCTTTTCATGGAAACTCGGTGTCGATAATGATTGCAGTGCTTTCTTCGTGCCAGCGAGGAGTGTATGTGGAAGTAAGATCCATTGTTTTCCCAAAGTTTCGACCAGATTATTTTCTCAAAACCCAATCCTGGATCAAGATTGTGAACGTCGAGTAGGATGTGAACCGCCTCAACAACCAACTTTTCTGACAGAACGTTAGGCAGTCAGCGGACTCGAAGGAGGAAAGAAAACTCACTGTTCGCTACCAAAAGACTGGAGCAGTCTCGTTCTCTACTAACATTTACAATACTAATTGAGGAATACTGTGTTGCCACTGTATAAAGGCAATATTCCAACCATGCAGTTCTCAATTGAACGGGAAAAGCCAATATTTTATGGCTCTATTTCGGTGTCCTATTCGGAAGCCCATGGTATTCATGTTTATCTCAAAGGTAATGTGATATCACGCGACATAGTGGGTCGCGCCCTCAGTAGCTTTAAAGCTGTTAATGAACGATATTGTTTAAGTGTGGAAACTCACTGAAAGCATTCTTGTCAAACTTCGAGTAGTCGAACGATTCAGTTTCTTCGTCCTCATCATCCACCTTTATATGGTTCACAGTATATGACGGAACTCCTTCAGCCTTGTCATCCTTCTTTATGCGTTTCGCAGTATGCGAAGGACCTTCCTCTTTAGGCAACTCCGTTGAAATGTCCACATTTTTTCGAGCCTAGAAATGTGAATGAAGCGGAAATTCTGAGTTCACTCAAAAAATAACAGTAAATTTTATAGTGAAGTTACAGGAAAGAATCACAGGAAAAAATATGAAAAAATACCTACTTTTAACATCGAAAACACTTACGGTTTTTCTGGCTCGCTTGAGCTCTTTCTTAGACTGTAACTGGGAGTCAGCAAAAGACGACCTGGCTTTTTCACACGCTTCATCGCTGAGGTCGATTACGCCCTCTATGCCACTCTGTAACTTTGGTAACCTTGACCTTTAGAGGAAATATTTTCACCTAAATTTTCTATCCGTTAAAAGAAAGGCAGAATGCTCTGTTCTAATCACAGCGAGTATGCACACATTCTCATCACAGCGCGTACAGTCAGACACATATAATTAGTTTCATTAAGCAACAGTCCCAGCAG